TAGATAGTTTTGTTGTTTTTATTTTATTAGCCCATCTTACTAATGAGCAATTAATATTTCTCCAGCTATGTAGGGCTGTAATCATCATTTCAAAATAACCTGAAAGAGTTAGAGACTATAAGGTTCTATCATTCTATCAAAAAAAAAAAAGCATTTGATTCTTCAGAACAAAAGGGCACCTTGCAAGCTATAACAATTTGTTCTCATCCATGCATCAAAATGACTCTATTCCTTGAAAGATATGACAGAAATAACCCTGATCCTCTGATAATAATCATCAGGCAAGGCATAAAACAGGTAGGCTTGCCACAGTGTTAGCCCCTGTGAAGAGAAGATTCAGTGCAGAAACAAGATCAAAAAGCTGTCTGTGAATAGTGATGTCCTCCAGATTTGTATTGATTTACTGATTGTACTGATTTCATCAAGCTCCAAAACACTGCAGAGCTTCCTGGAACACATCTGTAAACCACACATGAGATCCTGGCCTGTCCATCCACACCCTATTGTCCAGATATTAACCTACATTTAGAAAACCCTACAAAACTTGTCCAATAGCTTGTCTGATCTTTCTAAGAGTTGAACAGGATGGGCCAGCATAGATGGGTGAGGATCTATAGCATTGAAGAGCACTCTCAAATGTACGAGACCGCTTCTGTTCTTAACTTATCTAGTGGTTAACATATACTTGAACAGAAATGTGAAGTTCAAAAACACCATCTGTGATTGGCAAAACAAATGTAATATGTACATCTCTCATTTTGCAGGCATGGAAGTCTGCAGTTCAGTGTAGTTTAACAATGTTGAGGAATGGTGTTCCTTTATCTAATGAGTTAGGAAAGTTGGTGATATAATAAATTCATTTTGCATTAGTAAAAATGTTCTGAGGGAAAGCAATACTTAGAGAATGTTGTGAAGAATATTTGATGTAAGATTATTGGTTCCTAGCAACACGTATAGTTAGATCTCTCTATATCTATATATCTATATATCTATATATATCTATATATATATGAGTGTGTGTGTATTATATAATTAGATATAACTTAATTTCTTTCCAAAATCACATAAAAAATCACTTTATGCAGAAATAATGCGTTTTTCTATATTGCTTTTTGTCTCATATTTCATTACATTTTAGGAGCCTGTAGAATGTGTTTAATTGCATTATTTTTATATTTAAAGGGATTCTAAGAAGGCATAGACCTCAGATAGGACTTGTGATGATTCTTTTTAAAAATATAATTTAGAAGCAGCTGTGGTGGTTTCCAGACTTCTCAACCCATGAAAGCCAAAGACAGCTTAGAAGGTCAGTGGGAAAAGTCTGTGACTGTGGTGAGAAGTAAAAGCTAGATCTCAGTCACCATACCCCCCCCCCCCGAGGGGCAGCGGCTGCTTCCTGAGCTTCCAGTCCACAAACTGAGGAGGAATCGAGTGGCTGATCAGAGGGGGATTGTAGGGATCTCTTTGCCAGCGCTGAGGCAGGAATTTCTTGATTTACTTGCCCTTGGATCTGAGTCACAGTTCTGAGGGGCGGTCCTGGGGCTGGGAGGAGCACTGGCATGGTGGAGCTTGTTGTGGTGGTGGAGAGAAAACACCTCGTCCCTTATCATACCACCTTGGAAGAACTGAAAATTTACAGGTCCCTAGAAGTACCTCTGAAAACAGCTGTATAAACCCTCAAAGCATGGGACAGTACATTCTCCGCGTTGGAAGCAGACTCTTACCTTGACAAAGAGTTTAAAACTCAAGTAATTGGCCGGGATCATGAGTAAGCAGTGCAAAAAGAGTCAGACTATATTACCTTACTTTGGTGACAAAGAAGGTCAAAACACACAACCAGAAGAAGAAACAAAGTCAAAGTTCCTACATGCAAAGCCTCCAAGAAAAATATGAATCAGTCCCAGGTCTTGGAAGAGCTCAAAAGGGATTTTGAGAAGCAAGTAAGAGAAGTAGAGGAAAAACTGAGAGTGATGCAAGAAAATCATGAAAAACAAGTCAACTTGCTAAAGGAGACCCCAAAAAATACTGAAGAAAATAACACCTTAAAAAATAGCCTAACCCAAATGGCAAAAGAGGTCCAAAAAGCCAATGAGGAGAAGAATGCCCTAAAAAGCAAAATTGGCTAAATGGAAAAGGAAGTCCAAAAGATTACTGAAGAAAATAGTTCCTTAAAAATTAGAATAGAGCAATTGGAAGCTAGTGACTTTATGAGAAATCCAGACACTGTAAAACAAATCCAAAAGAATGAAAAATTAGAAAACAATGTGAAATATCTCATTGGAAAAACAACTGACCTGGAAAATAGATCCAGGAGAGAGAATTTAAAAATTATTGGACTATCTGAAAGCCATGATCAAAAAAAGAGCCTAGACATCACCTTTCAAGAAATTATCCTGGAAAACTGCCCTGATATTTTAGAACCAGGGGGCAAAATAGAAATTGAAAGAATCCACCGATCTCCTCCTGAAAGAGATTCCCAGAGGAAAACTCCTAGGAATGTTGTAGCCAAATTCCAGAGTTCCCAGGTCAAGGAAAAAATATTACAAGCAGCCAGAAAAAAACAATTCAAGTATTGTAGAAATGCAATCAGGATAACCCAAGATTTAGCAGCTTCTACATTAAGGGACCGCAGGGCATGGAATATAATATTCCGGCGAGCAAAGGAGATAAAACTACAACCAAGAATCACCTACCCAGAAAAACTGAGTATAATCCTTCAGGGGAAAATATGGTCATTCAGTGAAATAGAGGACTTTCAAGTATGGACTTTCAAGTATTCTTGATGAAAAGACCAGAGCTGAATAGAAAATTTGACTTTCCAATACAAGACTCAAGTGGAACATGAAGAGGTAAACAGGAAAGAGAAATCATAAGAGACTTATTAAGGTTGAACTGTTTACATTCCTGCATGGAAAGATGATATTTGTAACTCATGAGACCTTTGTCAGTATTAGGGTAGTTGAAGGGAAAAAATTATATGTATGTATGTATGTATATAGATAGATAGATAGATAGATAGAGGGCACAGTGTGAGTTGATCTGGAGAATAAAATTAAGGGGTGAGAGAGGATTATACTAGGAGAAGGAGAAAGGGAGAGGTAGAATGGGGTAAATTATCTCACAAAAAAACAGAAAAAAAAAAAGGCTCCTACAGTGGAGGGGAAGCAGGGGAAGGTGAGAGGGAATGAGTGAATCTTGTTCTCGTAGGATTTGACTTAAGGAGGGAATAACATACACACTCAACTGGGTGTGGAAATCTGTCTTCCCCTACAGGAACATAGGGGGCGAAGGGGACAAGAGAGTAGGGCAGTGATAGAGAGGAGGGCAGATAGGGAAAGGGAGTAATCAGAAACAAATACTTCTGAGGAGAGACAGGGTCAAAAGAAAGAATAGAATAAATGGGGGAGGCAGGATAGGATTAAGGGAGACAGAGTTTTTCACAGCATGTCTACTATGGAAGTGTTTTGCATAACTGCACATATATAACCTATATTTAGTTGCTTGCCTTATCAATGAGGGTGGGTGGGGAGGGAGGAAGTGAGAAAATTTGGAACCCAAAGTTTTAAAAACACATGTTTAAAAAAAATGTTTTCACATGCAACTGGGAAATAAGAAATACAGGAAATGGGGTACAGAAATCCATCCTGCCCTACAGGAAAATAGAAGAAAAAGGGGATAAGAGAAGGGGAGAGAGATAGAAGGGATGACAGATTAGGGGAAGGGATATTCAGAATGCATGCTATCTTGGGGAGGAGGGAGGAATGAGATGGGGTGAAAATTTGGAACTCAAAATCTTGTGGAAGTAAATGTTGAAAACTAAAAATAAATAAATTTATTTAAAAAAAATATTATAGGTCAAGAACCATTATAGTAGAATTCCACTCCTTGGAGAGTGTTTGTTTATAGTGGCACTATACATTGTAATAAACATTCTAACCATTGAAAAAAAAATTAAAATATAATTTGTTCAGAATGTGTTGCTCCAAATAGTCACTTCTTATATTTCTGGTATTCTCTGAGAAAAAAAAAAGAAATTTTAGTGTGATTTGCTGTTGTTGTTGAGTTGTTTCAGACTCTTTGTGACCCCATTTAGGGTTTTCTTGGAAGAGATACTGGAATGGTTTGCTCTTTCCTTCTCCAGATCATTTTGCAGATGAGGGAACTGAGGCAAAAAGGGTTAAGTGACTTGCCCAGGGTCACACAGCTAATAAGTGTCTGAGGCTAGACTTGAACCCACAAAGATGGGTCCTCCTGACTCCAGGCCTGGTGTTGTAACCACTATGCCATCTAGCTCCCCTTAACCTGCCATAAGGAAATTTATATTTCTGAAATGGAGTCAGTATGGATTTAGAACTGAGACCTGGACTCAACCTCTTGTACCACTGCTAATTAGCTGTTCAATCTTAAATAAGATACTTCATGTCTGAGTCTCAGTTTTTTCACCTGTAAATTGGGAATGATAATACCAGCACTACCTACCTCCCATGATAGTCCAAGGCAAAGTACTATATAAGCATGAGGTAGGTACTATTATGGTAAATTAGGAGGTGATTGTTTTGCCAAAGAATTGAATAAAAGAGTTTCTTTATTTTGATTACACAAATGTTAAATTCACACCTATGCTGATTACACCTATGCTGATCATAAAAAGACATACCTAACAAATCCTACTCTTAAATACTGAGTCCATTTTTGTACATTTTGAAAGTATGATTCAATTAATCAAAATTTGATGATACAACTTTTCACAAATCTGTCTTATGTGCAGACAAGTACTTATGTAATATAGCAGCACTCTGTTATTAGCTAATATAGAACCATTAATAATAATTCTATCCACTTAATAAAGAAGAGATCTTATAAGTGAGGCCTCAGGGATCAGGAGAAGTAAGAGGAAATGTAAAGCAGAAAAATAATATAACTTGAAAAATATTTTAGAATTTTATTTTTCCAAAAATACAATCACACTATTTGATTAAGGATCATCAGCACCTTTGGAAGTTTTTCCTAATGATGTTTCAAAAGTGTAGTACCTAAATAAAGTAAGGTCTATAGTAAGTTCTATTCAATTCATTCCAATGAGATCTTTCAAAATGATCTGTTCAAAGTACAAACAATGGAAATGTGTCTTATTTCTAAGTTCATCTTATTTCTAGTTCATTCAAGTTAATCAGTAGAGTTTGAACCAAAAACAAATTGCTCACAGTGTCACTTTGTGTGTTCACCAGACACATTAATGCTTCAGAACACATAGCCTCAGCTAGGGAGAAATATGCTATGTTACCTATAAAAAGGCCAAATTTTCACTTCTCTGATATATTCCACCTAGCATGGCAGAACTGGAAAGGACCTTAACAATCATGTAATGCAACCTTCTCTGAGAGTTTTTTATGAGAGAGCTTCAGCCTGGAGAATGGCTTGCTTAAAGTTATACTTTGGAGATGGTAGTCCTATGGACCAGAGTAGGATCCAGGTTTTTCTGACTCTTGCTTCAATGTTTTTTCTAGTATATCATTCTGCTTGTTCAACCCACAAAAAGTTTGCATTTGTTGATGGCTATTCCTATAACGATGCCCACATCCTATAAGCAAGATAGGAAATTGTCCTTTTGGAACACTGCTAATAAAAGACCAGAATGTCCGATTTGGTCTGTACTCTGTAGACTGTTGTCTGGCCTACAAAACAGTGGGATATTCTGAAGTGGTGTTATTCGGTATTTAGTCATCATGCTATTAGCCAAGTATGTTCTCAGTGGATCTGGGGAAAAAAGAAATCAAGGATGATTGATATTTTGCATGAAAATCTGTGAGCAAGATAAGTTAATGTAAGTTATCTGGTGCTAACATTTTAAATGTGCTATTAAGTATTGAAGTCCTAAGCAACAGAGGATTTTTTGCAATCAATCATGAATTGTTTGATAGCTGAGTGCTAATAGATATAAGTGGGACTAGTCCTTCTGGGACAACTAGTTAAAGTATAAACTTTGTTTTCTAGGAATCATTTTAATTTTCCCAGGACCCACCAACAGCCCCACCCCCACTGCTTGTGGTTGATGAAATCATAGCATCTGGACTTTTAGGGGAGAAACTTTGAAAAAAAAAGCCAACAATTACATCAACTGACAAAGAATTATCATAGAATCAGAGAATAATTATGACTATTCTTTGTTTTCCACTTTTTCTTTCTGTCTTCCCACTTTAAAAAAAAAAAAAAGAAAGAAAACCTCTGAATTTCTTTCCAGAAGAAAGACTATTTGGAATACTGAGGCTTTGTAAGACAAATTAACTTTATATCAAGCCAATGGATTTTCTCCGAAATACAACTTCTTAAGCCCTAAAAATTGAACATTATTAATTGCAAAGTAGATTTCTCCAGGAGCTTATCAAGACAGACTCCCAATTGGCCACTTATACAGATTGTGTGATCTAACTGTAGAATAAAGTAAAATACATGTACGAGAGGCAACCTAGCCCAATAGCTAGAGATCCATTTAAGAGGTGAGAAGAACTGGGTTCAAGTCCTGACTTTGACATGGATTAGCTGCATGCCTTCGAGCAAGTCGCTAACAACTCTATGCCCTCATGCACTTCTTAAAGATGCTGATTTGTACTGGCAGAGGGAATTTCCTGTTTACTACCAATGAATTCAGAAATTCAGTTTAAAACAAACAAGAAAACCCGAGTAGTGGGAGCATAAATTTGGGTCATATATTGATTGGCCCACGCCAGTGGGCCAGTTATATTTGCACATATAGTTGCGCTGAGCAGGGTGCCTTCCACAGAGCAGGCACTCAGTAAATATTTGCCCAATAACTCCACCCTTAAACGATGATTACTATGGAAGGGTTGTGGTTCAGATCAGGGGGACCGAGATCATGAATCCAAACTCAGAATGGAAACATGACGTACAGCCCACGAGAAAGTTAATAGACTGCTCACCTTCAAACTTTACTTCAGTATTTATTTTTAAGAATCATCTTGTTCTATGAGTTGTCAAAGAAGCAATCATAGGTTCCTGAGGTCCTAGAGCCAAAGTCGGAAAATAACCTCAGAGACCACTACAGTATGGCTACATACTCAAAGCTGGTTATAATCATGGCAGGTACATATCAGACTGAGGGAGAAAATCAACTTGGTACACGGAAATGTGGAAAGTTTTAAATCAATGATTCCAAGCATTGTCCAACATAGCCCCAACTGCAAAACGCTTATTGTTACAACCCAGGGGACACTTTGATTTACGTTGCCTGCAAGTTCAGTGGTTTTAAAACATGCCATATCTTTGGAACTGGTTTCAATCCGGACACTGCCTGTTTTCTTTTCCTAATTGAGGAGTAGCTGGGTATCCACTCTAAAATGCACCACCTATCTGCCTTCGAAAGGACAAAAATAGTTCATAGCTGTCTGTAGCCAAAGAACGTTAGTATCTGCATCTGAAACAGTACCCTATCCTGACAAATGTTCACATACTCCCTGGTTGCTCAGTGAATAAGCATATCCAGATGGCACTCACTAGTATCTGCAGCACTCTCAGGAAAAAAAAATGCTATAAAAGCCCAAACTGTAAAAAGCTGGTAGAAGCTTTCTGTAAAAGGCTTGGCCATGACGAACCTTCCTCTGGACCTGCCATCTGCCTCTAAAGATTGCCTCTATCCCATAACTAAGGCAATAGTATTTCCCCTGCTTCTTGTACTACAGTTGGCATGGTCTTAGGCTGTCTAAGGAGAGGCGTAATGTCCAGAATGAGGGAAGCCATAGTTCATAGTTTTGGCTAAACCAAAAATGGGATGATAGAAAAAAGTCTATGTGCCATGCTACTCTACTGAAGATTATCCATAGGAAGGTGACCAGGATGGTGAGAAATTGTAGACTATACTACATGGCAATCAGTTGAAGGTAGTGGAAATGTTTAGTCTCAAGAACAGAACACTTGGGGGGTATGGGCAGGGGGTATTATCTTCAAGGAAATTTCTGTCTTCAAGAAATACTGTCAAAAAAAAAAAGGAAATACTGTCTTCAAGTATTTGAAAGACCATCAAGTGGAAGAAGGATTGAATTCCTTATTCTTTGCCCCAGAAGGCACAACTAATAGTAATGGAAAGAAGTTAGAGAGGGAAATTACAGTTCAATGTAAGGAAAAACTTCCTAACAATTAGAGTTATCCATTAGGGAACTGACGTATAGACCTAGCAGTGATACAACCAAGTCAAAGGGTATGTGAAGTTTACCAACAGTGACTTTTTGGACATAGTTGTGTAAAGGAGGACTTGAAACCATTGCCATTTAACTCTGGTGCCTGGAGTTGGGGAGAATACTTTCTGAATGAATCAAAAAAAAATCAAACTTGAGTGTGAACAGAGCCTCTCTACCTCCTTGGATCAATGAAAGCCATCATAGAAGAGACTAGATCACTTTGTAAGCAATTTGTATAAAAGGAGAAGCTATTTCAGAACTGGAGAGAAGTTGGATTAAATAGAACAATGAGCTGTTGCAGAGAAGGAAGATTCTGAGGACAGTCATTGTCTCCATAGGCATCTTGGGGAGAAGAACCCAAGCAAAGGGAAATCCCAAGAAAATTTATTCATTTATTTTCCCTCTTGATGCCTGTCTATCCATCGACACTAAAATGTAATATGATCTGTTGTTTCATTACCCACATGTTTCCAGTAAATTGAATTTCGCCTCAACTATAAGGAGGACAGGGGTTAACTAAAATAGATACAAACATATGATTAGGCAGAGTGTCCAACCTTTGAATAAGTGTTAGGAATTTTCCTAACTGGGGGGGCTCAGAGCAATTACGACTGAACTATGAACTTTTCATATAAAATAAATTCCATAAAGCCAAAGAGAAAGGAACCAAGTGGACTTTAGGGCCAAAGTATTTTCCCATAGGCTTAAAATGAGCTAATTATTGTAACAGGCTTTTACAATTCCAAATTGTTTTCCAGAATAGTTGTACCAATCCACAGTTCCATCAGCAACACATTGATGTGCCTGTTTTCCCATTATGCTAGCCACTTCCTGACTGAGAAGTGAATGATTCAAGATGAGAATGAGACCTCCATTTTTTTGGGCATGGCCAATGTAGGAATTTATTTTGCTTGACTATGAATATTTGCTAGAAGGATTTTTGTTTTTCTTTTTTCTTTTAAATTGAGGCATGAGAAGGAGAGAAAATAAATGCCTTTTAATTGAAAAAAATTTAAAAACAACCCAAAGGCAACTGGGTTACCTCAGGTATTCGTAGGCTTTCTCTTATTGAAGATCTAAAAGTGGAGAATGGAAGAATACTTACTGGGGATATTGTAGAGGGAATTCCTGTCTGGATATAGTTTGGACTAGATGTCCCGAGTGAGGTCCCTTCCAATTCTGAGACTGTATTACCCAGGGCTGGGGAAACTGTGGCCTTCTAGGTCCTTATGTGTGGACTTTTGACTGAATCCAAATTTTACAGAAGAAATAAAGGCCACATGTGGCCTTAAGGTCACATGTTCCCCACCTGATATAACCTTTTCTTCTTCACATCTTTCCTGGACAATCCTTTCAAACTGAGGTAACTAGGGGGCACAGTGGATATAATAAAGGAGATGTAGTCAAGATGATCTGAGTTCAAATCCTGCCTCAGACACTAATCAGCTGCATGATCCTAGACAAGTCATTTAATCTCTTTCAGCCTCAGTTTGCTTATCTGATAATAATAGCAACTAGTTGTGGTGCTTATCAAGTGGGATAATACATGTAAAGCCCTTTGAAAACCTTAAAGTGCTACATAAATGCTAACTATTATTATTGATCTGATTTTTCCTTTGGGAAGATGGGAGCAGAGCATATACTGTCATTTTCCCCAGGCCTGTCCCCATTTCTCTTTCCTGTACTTCTCCTGGGAAAGGCCCTGCTTTAATTTTTAAAATTCTTCTTTTTCACTAAAATGTAACAATCATTTTCAAACATAAACATTTCAATATACAAAGAAAAATAAGAAAGAAGATTATGCAAAAAAAAACATACTGTTCTTCTGCTCACAAAAAACAGTTCACAGTTCTGAGAGAAAATGAGGCCCAAAGACATTTAATGACTTGCCTGGTGTTTGTTTTTTTTTTTTTTTTGTAGCAACAAAAACTAGAAACAAAGCAGGTACCCACTGATTGGGGGCATGTCTAAACAAATTATTGTACATGCATATATTTGAATATTACTGAACCACAAAATACAATGAATATGAAAAATTCAGAGAAACATTGGAAGACATATATGAACTGGTACAGAGGAGAGTCAGGAAAACAATATGCTCAAGGGCTTCAACATTATAAACAGAAAGAACAATAAAGGAAAACTGAACACTGTAATTTTAATGACCAAGCTTGACTTGGAGAAGAGTTGATCAAATGCACCTCCTTCTTTTCTTTAGAGAGGTCTGTGGTATATTGTATATATTGTCAGTTGGGGTTGATCTGTTTTTTTTTTTTTTCAAAGGATCTGGATTCATACTTCACTGAAAAAAAAAAAATGAGACTATCTGTTGTGACCTACCCCTTCTTCCCCAATACTATACTTCAAATCACTTGGCTTCACTCCAGGCAGTGATTAAATACCACTCTCTTTCCAATTTCTTGGGATGTTCATCTCCCTTGCTCCCATCTCAGTATTTATTCTGTGTATTCACTATATTTATTTATCAGTGACCATATTGTATCCCCTAGATAGAATGTAAGCTCACAGAGACAGTGAGGTGGCATGCAATAAATAGAGCCCTGGGTCGGGAGTCAAGAAGACTAAGCTGTATGACCCTAGGCACCTACTAGCTGTATGACCCTAGGCAGGTCACTTAACCCCTATCTGCCTCAACTTCCCTGGAAGGTATGACATGGGGATAACTCCCAGGGTTGCTGTAAGGATTAACTGAGACAATATTTGTAAATCTCTTAGTACAGTATCTGGCACAGAGTAGGTACATAGAAACCCGTGTTTCCTCTTTCTCTGAGGACAAAGACTTTCTCATTTTTTATATTCACATCCCCAGCACCTACAACCCAAGACTTTGGTTTCTGATGCAATGTTCTGGTCACTACATGGCTTCTCCTTCGGTGTACCATAATGTCCATATATTCCTACCAGTTTATTAATGAATAGCTAGAGAATAATGGGTAGCATTAGTGTTTCCTTTTAAAATCTACCTGTGAAATAGGGATAGAATTGACTCACCTTCCCCCAAGCAGGCTGCAAATAGCAAACAAAAGTTAAATAGATAGCAAATGTGTACGGTATCCTAATCAAACACTTGAGGACTTTGTGGAGCATAAATCCATCTCACAATAAATTTCCAAAGGCTTGTATTACCTGGTTTCTAATTCTACCTCAGATACTTATTTAGCTGTGTTCAAGTTAACTAACCCATCAGCCTCAGTTTCTTCATCTACTCACAGAGTTGTGAGGACCAAATAAGATAATATATGTAAAGTACTTAGCAACCCATAAACCACTATATATATTTTAGTTATTAATAATGATTGTTGTTATTTCTCTTCTCCTAAGGCTGTTCTAAAGGCTGGACTATTGATGTATATGCATTTTTCTCTTGATTTTACCTGCATCAGCTGGATAGCAGAACATTCTCCCTCTCCACAGAGGGGCACATCGGCTCTCAGGACCAGTAGTGCAAGGTGGAGACCGTCTTGTCCAAAATGCCTCTCCAGGGCCTCCTTCACTTCCTGTTTCACCTGTTCCTGGCTCATGCTGCTGTGGGGATAGCCTGGCGTGTCTAATACTTGGATCTGCAGAGTCATTTCTTTTCCGCCACGTCTCATGAAGTGGGTGATTTGGCAGCTTCGGCCCAGGCTGCAGTCCTTGGTCACAGAACATGGAGCTAAACGGCTGGGGAAGTCCATGCTGCCCAGCAAGCTATTGCCAGCGGAGCTCTTCCCACTCTGGGTCCCACCAAAGAGGGCCAGATTGATGATCATCTTAACACTGTCTGACATAATAAGCCCTTATCCAACACCCTGGGGAAACAGAGGCAGAGCACATGTGATGGCTGACCAGTGTAACTAGGACAAATGTCCAGTTGAAAGTATTTGGCTAAACAAAAAATTCCGAGTAGGTTTATTGGACTTGACTACTCCCACCATTGCCGGCAGCCACCTTGGTGCACAGAGAAACTAAAGATGAGAAGGAGGGGGAGAAATACGGTTCTCTACTTCACCTTCTACCCACCCTAACCAGAGTCGCAAGAGAAGTAATGGGACTTGGATGATGGAGAGGGAAGTAGGCAATGGAGAACAAGGGAAATGCAGAGTGAGAAAATAATACATTTTTCTTTGGGGAGGGCACCCAAAGAAATTGTAGGGAGAAATGTAACCCTTGTGTAGAAACAGGTTAACTTACCTAATTAGGGAATGAGTTTGGTCTGAGAGAGGATGATGAAGTTCCAGAAATAATGAGAAATAAGGGGGGCTTAGGAATCCTCACTTCTGAAGATGAGTAGAGATAGAATAGCAAGAAAGACATCAATGCATTATTCCTCTCTTATCTCTGCTGTTTCCACTCCTCCCCCACCCCAAAGGGACAGAGCAGAAAGAGTGGAAAAAAAGAGAGGAAGGGAGGGAAAGTGGGGGTGGGGGGATTGGAAGAGGGACAGACACAGAGAGAAATAGAGAGACAGAGAGATAGAGACCTTCCTTCCTTTCTTTTTTTTTCTTTCTTTCTAAGGATAACTGTCTGAATAACAGAGAAGGAATGAATATATTGGGAAATTAAGGTAATCTAAAGCCAAAAGATACCAATAAAAATATTTTTTTAAAAAAAGAATGGGGTCATCCCAGACTAACTTCACTCCCCACCTTTTTATATAGTTGTACTTGACTGGTAAAGAAAACCCCAAATGGGGTCATGAAGAGTTAGACATGACTAAAAAAACAACTGAAGGACAAAACTTGACTTGTAGATCAGTGATGCTATAGAAATATTTTACCAATTACAGCTAAGTCTGTGACAAAATCTGTCATGCTATCTTTGTAGATGAGAGAGAGAGAGAGGAAGAAGAGGAAGAAGAAGAGGAAGAAGAAGAGAAAGGGGAAGGGGAAAGGGGAGGAAGGAAGAGAGTGAGGGAGGACAGTGAGGAGGGGAGAAAAAGAAGGGGAGAAGGGAAAGAGAGGGAGGAGGGAGAGGGAGACCTAGGAAGAGGGAAAAGAAGTGGTCGAGGCAGGAAAAGGAAGAGATAGATACAGAGACAGCAAAATCGACAGACCGACAGAGAGAAAAAGAGGAGAAGGAGGGGTAGAGAACGAGGAGGAGGAGGGAGTGCAAAACTGCAGTGACATCTGCAAAAAATCATTCTTCTAACTTCCTGAATTTTTCCTTCTAAGAAACATGAATGTTTTAAAAGCAGCTTCTGGTTCTGTTTACCAAAGAACTTTGTAGCCAGGGAGCATTCTGATGAAAACACCCAAGACCATTCTTCCTTATTTGTTGTTTCTACTCAGAAATAAGTTTAAATAAAATATGAAATACGTGAATATTCCATGTTTACAAAGTGTTTGGTTTTAAAATAAAAAAAAAAGAAATCTCGTTTTATTTTGTGGCTTTCAGCTAAACTGGAATCAGGAATTTAATTATTTTGTTTTAAAGTAGTAACTAGATTTTTGTCCATTTACAGCACCTATGAAGAGGAGGTGTTATCAATATCTATCTGTTGTCAATCGGAATCTAGGATGATTCTGTTTAACATATACTGTGAATGAACTGTAGTAAAAATTTCAGGCAGGACATGGGTTCCTTTTTCCATTTTAGCAATTATCATGGTGCAGTGCCTGCCTGTAGCAGGTTTTTAATAAACATTTGTTTGTTGACTCAATATTAAACGGCAATGCTGTACTACTGACTTAAAGTATATCTTCTGTTAATTCCAGAAATAATAAATTCCTTGTGATTTTGCTCATAAATTTAAGATTCTATTATTCTCAAGTGCATAGAAACATTCCCTCCTCCCAGACTCTTTTGATTCTACATTCCTGCCACCTCTCCTCTAGTCTTTTTATGCCATATTCCCCAGATCCTGTTGTATCAGATCGGTTTCAGCCATCACAGGAAAATTTAAACCAATCAACCCTAATGGTTGGGTTCTACCAAGGTGAAGCCAGAGCACCCAACAGTAACTACCACATTGGGGTGGGTAAGGAAGCAAATTTATTCTACTTTATCCTGATCTTATCATATATCTTTAAGCTCAAGTACTGAATGTGCCATGTTTTATTTCATTTCACTTACCTTTTCAGACTAGATATTCCTTCTCCACCTGGGCTGGGTTTCCCTCAAGTTTCAGGACTGCCCTTCAATATGAACTTTGACTTTCTGATGAGGTTTCAGTACCACTCAGGAACTGACACTGGGATGTGTTTCTTACGTAGTTAATCTGTTACCAGAGATTTTCAATTGATTGTGATTCTATTAATAAGCCCTGGTATTCATAAACCACCTGGCAAGCTTGAAGTTTTAACATTTCAATAATAATTCAACTTGTTATTTTCAGGAGGAGAGTCTTGCAGGTGATAATCTCTGTTACAAAAGAAAACCCAGGACTGGAGAATTAAAAGGAACTAAAAATATCCTAAGGGGGGAAAAATGGCTCAGTTCTTAATTCTTCAAAAAATGATAAAAGCCAAAACAGCTGCAAAATTGGCTTGGAATCAACCTTCGATTCAGGGAGATCTGTATTCAAATCCTGCCTTTGACACATACTAATTATATGGCCATGGGCAAGTCACTTAATCTCTAAGTGTCAAATTCAACTTTCTAAGATGATTAATTACTGGTAAATTGATCAGTGGAGGGAGTTTCTACACCAGAAATTCTTTAAGCCAGTGAAATCACAGTTAAATCAACATGCATTTATTAAAACTTATAATGTGCTAGGCATATAGTACTACACATATAATTAGAAATAAAGATAGTTCTTGCCGTCTAGGAGATTACATTGTAATGCAGGAAGGCAAGACATAAAAGGAAACTGAAAAAGGGTTGGGGAGATGAAGATACCCATAAGGCCAGGGAACATTTTAGAGAAATTCCAGAGGGTCAGGAGTGCAGCCTGGAGAGGAATGAAGGCAAGCCTAGGAGATATCCTCCTTAAGAGGACTGAAAGGAATCAGTCAGTCAGAAGGAGAAGCCACAGGGACAGAGGGCACTTCCAATTTGAGAAGTCCAGGTGCTTGAGTAAACTTAGGGTAAAGGAGTCTCTGGAACACGGTAGAGAAATGGAAGTCAAGTCAGGAGGGCAGCCTGGAGAGGGATGAAAGTATTACAGGTCCAGATCTCACTCTTCCCTAAATGTTTTCTGTGTTATATAGGTTAAATTCATCACTTTATCCTAGGTTTTGAGGGTTCTAGTGTTTACATACTAATACATGTAATTTTCATGTTAATTAATATACATACTCATGGATCTTGATTTAAAAATAAGGTCAAAGGAATTTGGGCAAAAATGCTTTTTAAAATTTTTCTCTTCCTCTTGAAAACTGTATGTCCCATTCCCATTTTTTTCTTAAAGTGCTATGTAAATAATCTGCACTTTCTAACATTATTTTTGTAGCTGTATAACGTTAGTGGTATAGTATGCAGGAAACTGAATATGGCTACATTTTAAATGATCTCTTTTCCCCTCTTTTTCCCTCTCAGAAGAAATTCTATGAAGTGTATATCACTATTTGCAGTGATCTTGGAGACATCTGGAATTTCTTATAACCTCATGGGCAGATTTAAGAAGTATTCTTCCTGTGTGGATATGACAAGGAAAATGAAAGCAATTCATTCAACTGACAAATACTCCTGGTCTTCTTGTACACAGGAGCAACCTCCCCCAGATGGCAGTATCTGCCCATTTCCTGGTACTGGAAAAAAAAAAAACAAACTCAACATTTTTTCACTACTTCTTCTTCTCCCCTCCCCCCCCACCTTCCCCTCCACAATGTAAATTGGCCCTCTTTAACAAAGCAACTCACTGTCAAGCAAGCATGGCACTAGGGATTAATTATACATGAATGGGATTAACCAAGTATTTGAATTTGAACATTTGAAAAAGCATGGACCAGGATTTTCCCCTGTACTTTGTTAATGCAAAGCATCTTCTAACTCTAAAATTTTATGATTTTGTGATATTAAAGGTAGCTAGTTGATGCAGTGGATAGAGCGCTGGACTTGGAGTCAGGAAGACCTGAGCTCAAATCCAGCCTCAGATTCTTAGGGGCTATCTGGTCCTGGGAAATCCATTTAACTTTGTTCTGCCTCAGTTTCTTCATCTGTAAAATGGAGATTATACTAGCACCTTTCTCCCAGGATTGTTATGAGGAAAAAATAAGATAATATTTGTAAACTGTTTTGCATATATTAAAGAACTACATAAATGTTAGCTATTATTTTTGTTGCTATTATAATACAAATAAAAAAGTAACTTTTACTATCTTTATTATGCAAATAAGACAGGACTTTGGGATTTTTCAGTGGTTTTGAAAGAAGTATTCCACATCTGAAACTTTCTGCTTACCTGAAAATGTCTTGTTTTTGCAAGAGCTAGAATTTCAGCATCCCTGTGGCATTTTCTAATGGAGAAGTACATCAAGGATTTTAAATCAGCTTGTGATATGTTTAAAGGAATGCTTCATAACTGGCATCAACCCACAAATCATTAAACAAGAATCTGGATACTTACTGCCAGAGCTGGAAGGGGTCTCAGAGGTCATATGAGGTCCAACCCCTCATTTGAAAATTGAAGGATCCAAGGTCCAAGGAAGTTGTGACTTACCCAAGGTCACACAGACAATAAGCGGTAGAGACAGAATTTGAACCCAGGTCTTCCAACTCCAGAACCAGGGTACTAGTAATACAGCACCTACTATGTTCCAGGCAATGTGTTAAGCACTTTGCAATTATCTCATTTGATCCTCACAACTGTAAGAGGTAGGTGTTATTACTATCCCCATTTTATAGATGAGGAAACTGAGGCAAACAGATTAAGTGAGTTGCCCAGGATCTCATAGCTACTAAGTGTCTGAGGCCAAATTTTAATGCTGATCTTATTGATTCCAAGCCTCTGTTGCACTATGATACCACTTAGATGCACCCATTGGGTAACACATGATGTCTGGGTTGCGTCACCCTAAGCAAGTCACTTAATTTCTCTTAGCCTTATTTCATCATTACCTGTGAAATATGGGGAATGGATTCAACGCCTTTCATGATACCTTCAAGCTCCAAAATCTATTAGCCTGTTATTCAAATCCAGTCGTTAAGTTTGGGAATTGGTGTAGAAAAGCAATTCATGAAGTCGAGCACATTAGGTCATCAAACACACTCCATTCATTCAACTAAAAGTTTTATTTTAAGTTGTGGAAGGAAATTTGCAGTTCCATCTGTTTTGTTTGTAAAATGAAAGCAGGCTAAGCAGACTCAACTTGCAGAAATTTGCATTTATGGCACTCTGGCAGTTATACCCAGGCTATCATCCATTGTGTCGATGGCAAACAACAGGAAAGCAAACAGACGCTGAGGTCACCCTGCCAATTTTGAGGAACTAGATTCCAATTGCAAACGCAGCAGAGCAACCAACAGTTTGATCCCTAATGTCTATCTCACAACAGCGAAATTTACGATGAGAGAAACTGGGTAATGAAAAGTTCATTTTTGAATCAAGGTCTTAAAAAGTCATTAAGACTCAACAAAAGTCCCTGTTGTTTAGACCCCAATTTCTCCACTCCCACTCCCACTAATTTCTTCATTGATGCTTTTTGTTTTTAAAATCACATTTGCATCTGAATATAATCCATCCCACCTAGCAAGCTTTCCTTTATAACAAAAGATTTACGAAGAAAAAAATTAGCAAAACCAACCAACTATTGACCACATCTGACAGCACATAAAATATTCCATACCCATAGTCCCCCAATTCTGCAATGAGGGGAAGGAAGTGCATTTTCTCAACTTCTTTTTTTTCTGGCGCCAAGCTTGGTCATTATAATCACACAGCCTTCAGTTTTGTTTTATTGTTCTTTCAATTTATATTGGCGTAGTCACTGCTACATTTATATTGTGGTTTTTTCTTTGGTTTTGTTCAACTTAATGGTCTTTAATTTTTTTTTATTTTACTTTTAGTGATGTCTTTTGTTTTTATAACTCATTCATTTCCAAACAAATCCCTCCCCCCTCTTGTACTCAGTGAACCACTCCCTTATAACAAAGATTAAACAAGATAAAATTTAAAAAGCAGAACAGAAAATGAGCCAATATATCCACTGTTCCTGATAGTATATACAATATTTCCCATGCGTAGCCCTCTCTAGCCCACCCTCCACACACATTTCTTCAATGACAGGAGAGAAGTACAATTTCCCAACTCTTCCCTGGGGCTGTTCATGGTCATTATAATTACATTACATTTAGTTTTGCTTTATTGTTCTTTCCTTTTAAATTGCTGTAACCATGTCTACTTAATTTAATGTTCATAACAAAAGCATAAAATAAATAAACATGATAGCAATAATAACATAAGTAAATTAAGAAATATTGTTACTGTAAATGTGGTAGATCAACGTTGTTGTTGTTCAGTCATTTCAGTTGTGTCTGACGCTTCATGACCCCATACTTGGGGTTTTCTTGGCAGAGATGCTTGAGTGATTTGCCACTTCCTTCTCTCTCCAATTCATTTTACAGATGAGGATCTGAGGCAAACAGGATTAAGTGACTTGCCCAGGGTCACACAGCTAGGAAGTGTCTGATGCCAGATTTGAATTCAGGAAGATGAGTATTCCTGACCACAGACCCGGCATCCTATCCATTGTACCACCTAGTAGAGTATTACTGCCATCATATTAAGTAAAATTCTATATGATCAGTTGCTGTATTGTTCTGTATGATTTAGACACACTTTAGAAAGGCTTTACCATTCATTAGTTATTGTTGAGTAAATATATTATTTGTGGTTAATTCTGTAAAAAGTTGCCCATAGGCCTCCAGTCATGAGCTTGGCCTCTTGCTATAACATTGTTTCTAGGGGAAAATCAGACTCAATCTACATCATGCCAAATGACAGCACTGTGCTTTGTGTGGGAACAAATCTTCTATAAGGATGAAAGTAGGGATTGGTTCATTTTTTGTATTTGTATCCCCAGTACTTAGCATAGTGTGTGGCACATAGTTGGCACATAAGAAATACTTTTTGACTGATTGATTGGCAATTGCCTGTGGTAGGGACATTAATACTTAACTATTTCCTCATGGTAGAACTATTACCTTTTTACATGCAAGAAAACTGCCTGTTGGAGTTTCACTTTGTTTCTCCCTAGGGGAGAAAAAAAA